TTCTAAACGATCATGACGATTTTGAAGAGTAGTCGAACGAAGATTTCGTATAGTGCCTAATGTAAAAATTGTAATTAAAGTAATTGGACCTATAATAAAGACTAGAGGTGTTAAGATATAACTATGAAATATTTGAAATGGACCATCTACCAAAACACAAATACCATTAACACTATTACTAATAAAAATTAGTGGAAAATAGATAATTGCCCAGAAGATTACAGTACCAATAATAACCAATCGTATAACTCTTATTGAACTCCAACGATTTCGAAAAGAAGCTTCACGACATGTAATAGCATATTGATTAAATGAAGCCCAACATGGAAACGAAATAGCTGCAACAGTTGTTACATAAAATAAATAATTACGTTCTCGACAAGCTATATCATTCGTATTAAATACACCTAAACCAAAACCATCAACAAGTATACTTTGTAAATAAATAGATGGAAGATGTATTGCTGTCATTATTGCACCTGCTAATAAATAAATTATAGTTGAATTATGACGAAATAATTTTTGTCTTGTAAAAATAATAGTTGTTAATATTGCTCCAATAAATCCCAAACTAATCATTGGTATAGCAAGAAGATAATTGAGCCAACGCGATATTGTATTGATTGTTGATGCAGTCGACATCTTCGTTGAATAATATACTACAAGATTATAATTCTAATATGACACTGTTTTGACTTTTTCTTTCTGTAAAAAAAACACTGATACAATCAAGTAGAAGTAATGATGATGCTTGATTATTCGTATCTAATTACCAGGAAAAAAAAATAGTATAATTAGTTTTTAATAATCAAAGCATACAAAATGTGTAATTATCATCAATGAAGACACAATAATGATAATTAACTATTTGATATTATACTTTCTTTGTTGTTTCTATATATATAATATGAATATGAATCGAAAATGTTTAATTAACCATAAGTTTGATTATGAGAAGAGGTGGATTGCACTTTTTAAATAATTTATAGGAGAGCAACGAGTGAAAACAAATACGAATAGTTCATCCAACTTGGATAAAAAATTCAAAAAATTGTTTTGAAAATTTCACATAAACTAATAAATAAATTATAGTTGAATTATGTCAAAATGTACGTTATTTAGCAGCAATTCGAACAGTTAATATTGTTTCAATTATACAAAATATTATCATTGATATTTCAAGAAGATAAGTAAGCTAACTCGACACTATCTTTAGTGTTACTACAACAGTTGACATTGTCTAAAATCATAGGAACGATTAAATACTGTATTTTGTAAGTATTTATTTTTAATATGAATAACTCTTTAACTATTCAAGAGATTTTTAAAATTTTGTTATGCTGGTTGAAATTACATTAGATATACTTTTATTAATAACAATTATTAAAAATGTTCACTTTCAAATGAAATGCATTTATTTTTATTCTGTTTAAATGAATAAGATGACGGAGAAAATCCGGACAACATCGAATCGTAACCATTTATTGAATAATGAGTTCAGAGAATAAGACCAGCAGCACTATGTCACTGACGATTACACGTACATTCAATTTACAGCAAAAAATACACACAGTAGACTCAAACGAGAATAAGGGATGTATTACTAAAAGACATCCATTGTCTGATATGAGCTCAATTAACCTTGACAAGACAAAATAGTGTACTCCTTGGCACATTGATTATTTTAAGTTTTTACGGTTGTAATCAATTTTCTATGGCAGATATTTCACAGAGATGTTTAAATATGATTCTAATGCAATATTTATTTTCATCAGCAGTGTCACATATTCAGAAAATCAGAGATATGAAATATACATCTTCTGCATCCGTCGATTCTAACTTTTTTATCGTGTTTATTAAATATAATCTAGGAAAGTCTTTCTTTTTTGTTACAAAGATAAAAGAAGATTTGTCAAAGTATTGAAAACATTTCAAGAGAATATTTAATTTTTCATTTCAGTTAAATTTTTAATCATTAAAATGAAAATCTCTTTTTTCTATGATACAGAAATGTGCATCACATATAGATGCTAATAAAAGTAGAAAATCGATATTGTTTACATATATATATATTTACTTAGGGGTACACCAAAAGTTCTGGCCAAGGCATTTAAACGATCTTGTTGGATAAGGTGATCTATTCAGAAGTAAGAAACCAAATATATCACATCATAGAGCTTTTCGAGGTGCATCAAATAGTATATAGTAAATTATGTTTACATAAGACTTTGAAGGAATTATAATCAATTTACTGATTGCGACTACAATTATACACCCATGCACATCCATATTCAAACATGATAAGTTAATGGATATTGTGGTCCTTGGTATTAATCAAAAGTAGTTTTTCTCACACATCATTTTGTCGAGTTTTGAACGTGTCACAATCTCAAATATGTAGCATTTTCGGTCATGTTATGGATATGAATGAGGATATGTAATCATCTATGAGTAAATTGATTCTAATTTTTTCAAAGTCTTGTGAAAATAGATTTTACTATATACCATTTGATGTGCCTTGAAAAGTTCTACAATGTGGTATATTTAGTTTCTTATTTCTGAATAGATCACCTTATCCGACAGGATTCTTTAAACGCCGGGGCCAGAACTTTTGGTATACCCTAAATATTTTCAGTTGTTCTTCTTTCAAGCAGATAATTAATGCCCATCCAGATAAATTAATAAATTAAAAACAGGATAAAAGAGAAAATGTCACATGATCAATTTTCTTTATGTTGTTCTTCAAGTTGATGATTAAAAAATATCGAAATAAATAATATTAAAATTTGTTATAGAGACAATTTTATAGAAATATTTATTGATTGATCTTTTTCTTCAATGGAAAATCAATTATTAAGAATGTGATAATTCTTGTTCGTTAATTTGTACATTTAATGCCTCCACCTCAAAAATCGATCTCAGCTCAGATATGTTCAGATCGCAAGAAACATTCAGGATATATTGAAGCTTCAGTGGAGAGGCTATGGTAAAATTTTCAGCATTATACTATCATGTTACAGGGAGATATTCACCAGACAAGAGTCAAACATTGTTCATTTGGCAAACAAAATTTCTCTTTCGGCACTCAGAAAATGTATCTAATATTTTTTTTCAAAATTCTTGCTTTTTAAGTGAAGAAAAGGGATCACAAGTTGAAGATCTCGAAAAAATAGCGTCCGACTTATATAATTATCTGTATATATATCAAAAACACAAAGGTTAATTTTAAAAAAATGGCTCTGTACTGCAGTGCATCTTGACTTGGTCTTTCAAACGAACAAAAAAACATATTAAATACATTGTCTGAGTGCTGGAAGAGAAATTTGGAATGTACGATTTAAAAAGTGTAAAATGAAAAAAAAAACGAAAAAAATGTTCAGTTTTTTCAATCAAAACATGATAGGAATCATCAAAAATTTCGACCAAAACAGATGTATCCGATGAAAAATTAAATCATTTCTGGAAGATCCAAAGACAGGCTATCTTTCCATGCCGTTATCTCAATTTCGAAATTTCTGACGAAAATTGACTCTTCATGACGGAGTTGGGAGACCTTAACGAAATAAAGCTTTTATCTCGATTTAATTTGATTGAATTTTGTACAGTTTTCGATAGACATCCAGAGATATGGTTTTATACTATTTACTCTTTGTAATTATGTTAAAAAAAGCCGTTTAGAAGTTATTTTCTGGCGCTTTCCTAGATATCCGATCTCTGAAAGTGTTTCAATTACTTCATTGGATATATCATATTCGAACACTTGTAGAAAAATTGGTTTTCACAGTTCTTTGAATGGTGAAAGGAAAAAAAAAAGAATATTGCAGACGGCAACAACAATAGAGGGAAAAGAACAGATCATAGGGTGTCTAGTTAGCTAGACAAATATCACTGCTAACAAACAATGACACCACATTTGGCAGTTGTTAATAGAGAGGGCACTACTAGATAAAGAAAATGCCTCTATTCAGACCATTAGTTGTCTTAACCCATATTTTGAAACAGCATGATACATACGAAGTTGATTAAGACTAATCAAGACCATGATAGCAGATATATCTTTTCGTATAACAGTTGATTTCCTATGTGCCATACTTTTTTGTAACGAGCTTATGTAAAACTACCCTTTTTGTGACGTCATCGCGTAACGAAAAATGACTATTGTTTTTTTTTTCATAAAAAATATATACCTAAAACTAGTTTCTTATGGGCTATCTAATGCATCTATTTTTATTTAGAAAAACCATGTTTTATCAAATTATGCTTAACAAGTTATATTTTTATATATGTTTAGTTAATTATTTGTATTATTTGTT